TCTGCGCAGCTCCTCAGCCAAAATCAAATCACGAATATTATCATATTTCATCTTGGATTTACTTGCAGAATTGCTAATTGTCATCCTCATGGCTTCCCAGCTATTTGACAATGAAGCTAACAATATCAATGCACGTATTTCATCATCAAAATCAATTTCAACAGACGATAAATGATTTGTGATAATATTCAAATCATTCAGGTGTAGAGCAACAGACACATCTTCTGTCATCAAGTTAATAATTTTTTCATCATATGCACCTTGTTATTCGCCGATGGCTTTACATACATACCTAATAAAGCCGTCATGAGATCTGCAGTAGTCCTCTTCTTGAAGACGTTGTGGGCAACCGATCTAGACAGGGTTAATCGAATAACCCCCAGAACCTTTCGATCCAATAGATTTCATTCCGCCTCATTCATCTTTTATGGTCGTTTTCCCAGTAACGGAAGATGAAGTTTCTTCTCATAGAGGTAGTCCTCTATCTGCATCCTCCAGTAAGCAAAATCTGTGTCATTGAACTTCTCAATCTCCGATGTAATCACTTCGTCTCCGCTCATCATTCTTCCTTAGATCCGAACCCAAGGCTCTGATACCAATTGTGAAAAACGACGATAATAAAGCGAAAAATAGAATGAGAAATTACATGCAAAAAAACACCAGAGCGACACAGATTTACGTGGTTCAGCAAATTAGCCTACGTCCACGGAGCTGCAGAGGATTTTATTTCTTCGAGGAATTACACCGTCGAACGCCTCGACGTTTATAAGAAAATCTCTATTTTATTCTCCCTTTCTCTCTCTCTCTCTTAGCTCTCAAGAGGACTTGACTTGGTCTTGCTTGACTTGACTTATGACAAGCCATAAAAGACTATTTATAGAAATTAGGAGAGTGGTAGGTGGGAGGTAGGTGGGAGGTAGGTGGGCGGTAGGTGTGTGTGGTAGGTGAGCGGTAGGTGAGATTTTTTATTAGGAAGCTAATTAAATTGTGGTGGACTGGATCTCCACATTATCCAACACACCTAAACACTCAAATGGGAGCTAAGTTTGGAAGCGACAATTCTAAATATGTAATCGAAGTTTAAAGCGTCTTCATCGCCACCAGATACGCAACACGCATATAGAATCAGACAGAAGGCGATACTGAGGCGCTTGTAATGAAGTTTTGCATGCTCGCCACCGGATCCACAACCCCACATACACGAGCGAACATAAGGTGAAACTAAAAGCTTAAATGAATATATTTGTACACATCTCAATGATAGTATACCAGTGCAAATAACAATAAAACTTCATAAAAATCAGTCAAAATTGACAATTAATAAAATTAAAATACTTACATGTGCTTCGACCCACATGCTAAATGCCTGAACTCAAGGTCCGAGAATGCTGCACGGGTTAAAATGTGTGCTTGAACTCAAAATTAAATGTCTCGAAACAGCATAGCTACTTAAAATCAATTCCAATTAATAAAATTAAAGTACCCGCATGTGCTCACATGCCTCTAAATATTCAAGCTTATGCGCTGAGAATGTTGCGTAGGCAATGGGTCGTCTTGGTTATAGGGCAAGGTTGTAAGTCTCATACTTTGGTCAATCTCATCATTCTCCCTACAAGGAATGAAATTGATAAGATTGAGCCCCCGTTGAGCTAATCTTATCCTCCTTCCTACAGAGACTGGAGTTAACAAGATTGAGCCACCACTGAGCTAGTGTGATCCTCTTTACGAGGACTGGAGTTGACAGGACTAATGCTCTTAATGATGTTTAAGCAATCAATCATTGGGTCGCCTTGCCTACAGGGTGACGTAAGTCCTACACTTTGGCCAATTTGATCCTCCTTATAAAGGACCAGAGTCAATAAGGTTTTGCCCCTGTTGAGTCAGTTTGATCCTCCTCACAAGGACTGGAGTTGACATGACTAGTGTTATTAATAATATATAAATTTAAATCATTCCTCAATGATGATCGTGTTGATCGAAGATTTCAATTGGAGGGTTATACTTTAAAATTATACTTCATAGTCTATTTTGAATTCAACTATTTCAATTTCTGAATTTGATCCTCTGTAAGCGGGACAAAGTTGACAGGGTTTAAAGATAAAACAATACCCCAATGATGGTCATGTTGATCGTAAATTTCAATCAAAAGGGTTCGTTTATAAAATTAAAATATTTGAAATCATAAATAAAATATTCAAACAAAAACTTATCACCTAATATTTAAAGCAAAATTCATCCACCTTCCACAACTGTTTGTCAAGGTAGACAAATCTATTACTGACTCGAGCTCACAAAAAACCAATGTTATATCAAGTATACTACTAAATTCATGCACAAAACAAATTTTATATTAGTAAGAATTTTTATGCCAGTAAGGACGTAACCCAAGTCCTCCATCCCTGTGGTTTTTGCGGCCAAATAACACCACAAAGAAGCAGTTACTACCCTTTTGAGTATTGAATCATAGGGTATATTCGATTGGGCAGAAAACCCTCTGTAAGCTAAAGTCGACTTAGATTAGGCCCCGCGTTAAGCTCTCGATGAGAGTCCGAGGCGCTTTTCAAATTTTTGGAGCCCGCAATTACTATATTAAAAGAAAAATTAATCCGCAGTTCAAGAAAATCTTATAATGAATTTAAAATTCAAAACAAAATTATTTTAAATAAATTCGACCATATCTTCAATTAGACAGTAGACTAAGGATGATCGGCCATGCTTATCCTATTTGTCCTTATCGCCACCAACAATCCAGATTTCCCATCTCACAATGTTGATCAAAAGATATCAAATCAATAATCCATCTTCATCTGTCAACTCCTGCTAACTTAATCTTCAATCTCAACTAATTCACCAAAAGAAACAAGCAAACTCCATAATTTCAAAAATTATTAAATTGAATTTAAATTTCAAGATATAACCTCATTCTGAAGTAATTCAAAATCTAATATTCAACCAAAACTTCATTTGGACGCATAGATAATGATGTTCAATCATGCTTATTCTATTGTACTATCACCATCCAATAGTCCAAATTTTTTGCCTCCCTATTTTGATCATCATATTTCGAATTCACAATCCATATCCATTTGTAGACTTCTATTAACTTGAACCGCCACCAATTTAAATTTTCATCAATAGATCATACTTCCAAATTTTCAACAACAACAATCCCTTCAATCTTTCAACAATCTGAAGCCCAACTGCGATCATAGAAAATATGATTGATCATCCACATAAACTAACAACATATCCAAAATTGACAATTATGTCTTCTTGACTAGAATTAGATGCATGTAAAATTAGTGACAAATAATATCACATCATACCAACCATATTATTTTTTTAATATAGACAGAATTGATATCTACCTCTTAATAAAATTACGTTGAACCAAACACATGTAGTAGACAACATTGACATCTAATAACAGTTGTGGCTTAATAACAACATGTAGTAGACAGCATTGACATCTAATAACAGTTGTGGCTTAATAACAATAACTCAATAACTAAAAACCAAGCCGCTCCCTGGTAGCACATTATATTTGACCTTAATTACATCCCACCAATGACAAGTTATTTAATAAAACTCTATGCTTGGTCTAATTTATCTATAATAGATGAAAAATTAACAGTAATAAATTATTTATAAAATCACTTGAAGAAGAGTATTTCAAGCCAACACCACCAAGTAGAAGAATAGCACTGCATAAAAGTACTACTGCAAGCTAAAGATGAAATGAACATTCAACTTATCAATCAAAGGAGATGGCATCCGCAAGACATAATTGTTAGTGTTCAATAATAAACACCATCAGACAGAACAGCATTAGGTAAAATTTCATAAGCAATGCTAGCGTACTCATTACTGTCAATGAATTTTTAAATGTCGAAGTTTAGTTTTTCAAACTGATTTATATTGGAATATTTACATACATACCACTTAATTCCTATGTATTTACATATCTAACACCTAAATTTCAATTTTCACACATATGCCACTTTAACTATGCATGAAAAGGTGTATTCAGTTTGTGTAAGTTAAATAAGAGTTATCTTTTATGTAATATTAAAGATTTAGGCGGTATAAATGTCAAAAGTTAAGTTTAGCTTCTAGATATGTAAATATATAGGAATTGGGTGTTATGTATGTAAATGCCCCATTTTTCTTTTAACCAATCTATCCAATCAAAGAGGCACATGATTCATTAAGGTTGATAAAGGAAAGCTAAACTATAAAAAGGCAGTTTTGCTAGATCTGAATATTTACAGTTTATTCATTTTCCCAGTAAAAAGTGTCATCAAGAGCTTTCCAAGACAGCATTACAATGATAAAGTTTCTCGAAACTACCTTCCTAAACAATTGTAATGAAACATGTTCCTAAAAGTTCTTTCCCCAACAGTGTTTCGCCTTTCACCCTCTCTAATCTCAATTTAAGCTTTTGCAAAATCTTTCCCAATCTATATTAAGGTGAAAAAAAAGGGCCCGATACCTCAGCATCAAAAACAGGGATGATTATAATAGAAATTTCACCCCAAACCATTCATTGTTGAAGCTAACACACCGCAATCCATCAGAAGAGGCAGGCCTTCAGTTCTTGCTCCACAATACAAATAATTAAATAGCATAACACAAAGTTTGATGATTGAACAATAATCTTTTTATGAAGCCTTACAAGTCTCATGAACACAACTATATACCATTCTACAAAAATGAGAAGTTCACTTAAATACACGTGAAAAAAAAGTTCATCGTATATTATTCGAGGTAAGCTATTAGAAGTAACATGCAACACTTTCTTATACTCTCAGAAATCAAAACAATCGTTCATTTTATCATAAGATCTTAAAGATATAAAAAGAAACAAAATGATACTTGTTTTGATCAAGAAGCCTGTTGAGGTAGCCATGAAAGAAATGAGAATACACCCATATATAATCCCAGAAGTAAAGTATTCACTGAGCTATCTAGAGCAATAAATGGCAGAAAGAGGGCTTCACCTTTGCATCGTTGCGGACAAACTGGATTCCATGACCAGGATATATTGTTGATGAGCAAAACCAACATTTCTCTAATCTCATTGTGTTTTTGAGTTAAGAGGCAGAACTCTGAAAAAGTCAAAAGACTTATTAATACAAAAATTCATAATGTGTACATATAATAAAAGCAATCAGCTTGAGATGCATTAAGCATCACCATAACTCGTCAACTAAAAATATAGACTAATAAGATTATTATACAACAACAACAACAACAATAACAAAGCCTTAATCTCACTACCCCAGCTACATGAATCATTTTTCTCCATTGCATCCTATTTAGTGCCATATTTTTTAACATCATTTTTTATACAATAAACCCTAGTTTTTCTAGGTCAACCTCTGCCTTTATTAACATAAGTTGAATCTAAAACATCAACTCTCCTAATCGGATCATCAGATGGTCGACGCTTAATATGACCAAACCATCAAAGACGACTTTCTCTAATTTTGTCCGTCACAAGAGCTACACCAACCCTATCAGGTGGGAGGTAGGTGGGCGGTAGGTGTGTGTGGTAGGTGAGCGGTAGGTGAGATTTTTTATTAGGAAGCTAATTAAATTGTGGTGGACTGGATCTCCACATTATCCAACACACCTAAACACTCAAATGGGAGCTAAGTTTGGAAGCGACAATTCTAAATATGTAATCGAAGTTTAAAGCGTCTTCATCGCCACCAGATACGCAACACGCATATAGAATCAGACAGAAGGCGATACTGAGGCGCTTGTAATGAAGTTTTGCATGCTCGCCACCGGATCCACAACCCCACATACACGAGCGAACATAAGGTGAAACTAAAAGCTTAAATGAAAATATTTGTACACATCTCAATGATAGTATACCAGTGCAAATAACAATAAAACTTCATAAAAATCAGTCAAAATTGACAATTAATAAAATTAAAATACTTACATGTGCTTCGACCCACATGCTAAATGCCTGAACTCAAGGTCCGAGAATGCTGCACGGGTTAAAATGTGTGCTTGAACTCAAAATTAAATGTCTCGAAACAGCATAGCTACTTAAAATCAATTCCAATTAATAAAATTAAAGTACCCGCATGTGCTCACATGCCTCTAAATATTCAAGCTTATGCGCTGAGAATGTTGCGTAGGCAATGGGTCGTCTTGGTTATAGGGCAAGGTTGTAAGTCTCATACTTTGGTCAATCTCATCATTCTCCCTACAAGGAATGAAATTGATAAGATTGAGCCCCCGTTGAGCTAATCTTATCCTCCTTCCTACAGAGACTGGAGTTAACAAGATTGAGCCACCACTGAGCTAGTGTGATCCTCTTTACGAGGACTGGAGTTGACAGGACTAATGCTCTTAATGATGTTTAAGCAATCAATCATTGGGTCGCCTTGCCTGCAGGATGACGTAAGTCCTACACTTTGGCCAATTCGATCCTCCTTATAAAGGACCAGAGTCAATAAGGTTTTGCCCCTGTTGAGTCAGTTTGATCCTCCTCACAAGGACTGGAGTTGACATGACTAGTGTTATTAATAATATATAAATTTAAATCATTCCTCAATGATGATCGTGTTGATCGAAGATTTCAATTGGAGGGTTATACTTTAAAATTATACTTCATAGTCTATTTTGAATTCAACTATTTCAATTTCTGAATTTGATCCTCTGTAAGCGGGACAAAGTTGACAGGGTTTAAAGATAAAACAATACCCCAATGATGGTCATGTTGATCGTAAATTTCAATCAAAAGGGTTCGTTTATAAAATTAAAATATTTGAAATCATAAATAAAATATTCAAACAAAAACTTATCACCTAATATTTAAAGCAAAATTCATCCACCTTCCACAACTGTTTGTCAAGGTAGACAAATCTATTACTGACTCGAGCTCACAAAAAACCAATGTTATATCAAGTATACTACTAAATTCATGCACAAAACAAATTTTATATTAGTAAGAATTTTTATGCCAGTAAGGACGTAACCCAAGCCCTCCATCCCTGTGGTTTTTGCGGCCAAATAACACCACAAAGAAGCAGTTACTACCCTTTTGAGTATTGAATCATAGGGTATATTCGATTGGGCAGAAAACCCTCTGTAAGCTAAAGTCGACTTAGATTAGGCCCCGCGTTAAGCTCTCGATGAGAGTCCGAGGCGCTTTTCAAATTTTTGGAGCCCGCAATTACTATACTAAAAGAAAAATTAATCCGCAGTTCAAGAAAATCTTATAATGAATTTAAAATTCAAAACAAATTATTTTAAATAAATTCGACCATATCTTCAATTAGACAGTAGACTAAGGATGATCGGCCATGCTTATCCTATTTGTCCTTATCGCCACCAACAATCCAGATTTCCCATCTCACAATGTTGATCAAAAGATATCAAATCAATAATCCATCTTCATCTGTCAACTCCTGCTAACTTAATCTTCAATCTCAACTAATTCACCAAAAGAAACAAGCAAACTCCATAATTTCAAAAATTATTAAATTGAATTTAAATTTCAAGATATAACCTCATTCTGAAGTAATTCAAAATCTAATATTCAACCAAAACTTCATTTGGACGCATAGATAATGATGTTCAATCATGCTTATTCTATTGTACTATCACCATCCAATAGTCCAAATTTTTTGCCTCCCTATTTTGATCATCATATTTCGAATTCACAATCCATATCCATTTGTAGACTTCTATTAACTTGAACCGCCACCAATTTAAATTTTCATCAATAGATCATACTTCCAAATTTTCAACAACAACAATCCCTTCAATCTTTCAACAATCTGAAGCCCAACTGCGATCATAGAAAATATGATTGATCATCCACATAAACTAACAACATATCCAAAATTGACAATTATGTCTTCTTGACTAGAATTAGATGCATGTAAAATTAGTGACAAATAATATCACATCATACCAACCATATTATTTTTTTAATATAGACAGAATTGATATCTACCTCTTAATAAAATTACGTTGAACCACATGTAGTAGACAGCATTGACATCTAATAACAGTTGTGGCTTAATAACAATAACTCAATAACTAAAAACCAAGCCGCTCCCTGGTAGCACATTATATTTGACCTTAATTACATCCCACCAATGACAAGTTATTTAATAAAACTCTATGCTTGGTCTAATTTATCTATAATAGATGAAAAATTAACAGTAATAAATTATTTATAAAATCACTTGAAGAAGAGTATTTCAAGCCAACACCACCAAGTAGAAGAATAGCACTGCATAAAAGTACTACTGCAAGCTAAAGATGAAATGAACATTCAACTTATCAATCAAAGGAGATGGCATCCGCAAGACATAATTGTTAGTGTTCAATAATAAACACCATCAGACAGAACAGCATTAGGTAAAATTTCATAAGCAATGCTAGCGTACTCATTACTGTCAATGAATTTTTAAATGTCGAAGTTTAGTTTTTCAAACTGATTTATATTGGAATATTTACATACATACCACTTAATTCCTATGTATTTACATATCTAACACCTAAATTTCAATTTTCACACATATGCCACTTTAACTATGCATGAAAAGGTGTATTCAGTTTGTGTAAGTTAAATAAGAGTTATCTTTTATGTAATATTAAAGATTTAGGCGGTATAAATGTCAAAAGTTAAGTTTAGCTTCTAGATATGTAAATATATAGGAATTGGGTGTTATGTATGTAAATGCCCCATTTTTCTTTTAACCAATCTATCCAATCAAAGAGGCACATGATTCATTAAGGTTGATAAAGGAAAGCTAAACTATAAAAAGGCAGTTTTGCTAGATCTGAATATTTACAGTTTATTCATTTTCCCAGTAAAAAGTGTCATCAAGAGCTTTCCAAGACAGCATTACAATGATAAAGTTTCTCGAAACTACCTTCCTAAACAATTGTAATGAAACATGTTCCTAAAAGTTCTTTCCCCAACAGTGTTTCGCCTTTCACCCTCTCTAATCTCAATTTAAGCTTTTGCAAAATCTTTCCCAATCTATATTAAGGTGAAAAAAAAGGGCCCGATACCTCAGCATCAAAAACAGGGATGATTATAATAGAAATTTCACCCCAAACCATTCATTGTTGAAGCTAACACACCGCAATCCATCAGAAGAGGCAGGCCTTCAGTTCTTGCTCCACAATACAAATAATTAAATAGCATAACACAAAGTTTGATGATTGAACAATAATCTTTTTATGAAGCCTTACAAGTCTCATGAACACAACTATATACCATTCTACAAAAATGAGAAGTTCACTTAAATACACGTGAAAAAAAAGTTCATCGTATATTATTCGAGGTAAGCTATTAGAAGTAACATGCAACACTTTCTTATACTCTCAGAAATCAAAACAATCGTTCATTTTATCATAAGATCATAAAGATATAAAAAGAAACAAAATGATACTTGTTTTGATCAAGAAGCCTGTTGAGGTAGCCATGAAAGAAATGAGAATACACCCATATATAATCCCAGAAGTAAAGTATTCACTGAGCTATCTAGAGCAACAAATGGCAGAAAGAGGGCTTCACCTTTGCATCGTTGCGGACAAACTGGATTCCATGACCAGGATATATTGTTGATGAGCAAAACCAACATTTCTCTAATCTCATTGTGTTTTTGAGTTAAGAGGCAGAACTCTGAAAAAGTCAAAAGACTTATTAATACAAAAATTCATAATGTGTACATATAATAAAAGCAATCAGCTTGAGATGCATTAAGCATCACCATAACTCGTCAACTAAAAATATAGACTAATAAGATTATTATACAACAACAGCAACAACAATAACAAAGCCTTAATCTCACTACCCCAGCTACATGAATCATTTTTCTCCATTGCATCCTATTTAGTGCCATATTTTTTAACATCATTTTTTATACAATAAACCCTAGTTTTTCTAGGTCGACCTCTGCCTTTATTAACATAAGTTGAATCTAAAACATCAACTCTCCTAATCGGATCATCAGATGGTCGACGCTTAATATGACCAAACCATCAAAGACGACTTTCTCTAATTTTGTCCGTCACAAGAGCTACACCAACCCTATCATGGATATAATCATTTCTCATTTT